GGGGGGGGGGGGATTCTAATTTCAATATTATTGCTCAAGGGGTACCGTGGAAAGACACCCCTATGCAGTAGTGGCAAATACTTATGTTCGTCAACGAAGCCCCTTACAAGTTTCTCCCCTGTAAGACCACTGTTTATGGCAAACAAATCTTGATCTTGATTCTTCAAAACCTTGGCAAGATAAAAGCGACCCCCCCCTAAGATCAAGATTATTGCATGTACGTGTGTATGGAAAACTGCATCTTGAACTTACTTGGGGGTTCTGGACACCTCGATAGACAAAATCAGCGAGTGCGACCTGAGTTCTTGACGTATCGCTCCCATCAAGGCCTCCGACGAACCCTATGGTGAAGGGTTTGCTGTTCTGCTCGCTGGTTGTTGGTTGTCGGTCGGGACACGAGCGTTAAAAAAATCATTTCGCATCACACCAAACGTGGAGACTCCCAAACGTCACGAGAGGGCAAAAAAGCCGAAAAAAGCCCGCGTTCTGACAGAGGCGCGACAACAGCGCAATTGATTTCTCGCTCCCTAGGCCACCGATTGACGCCAAACCGGTCAGGGTGTGCTCTCCGTTCCTTGCTCTCTCTCGGAGTGGCGTGGCTCAGGAGCTCGCAAGCTCAATCGATGGAGAGAGAATTGTGCGTGGCGTCACTTTGCTTTTTCGAACTGATTTTTTCGCCCTTGTTATTCACTTGCGATTAGACTGACTTGTTGAACACCTGACAACTTTTGTCAACGGATGGCGTGCGCACACGCAGACAACGATTTCCGTCGATTGAGCTTGCGAGCTCCTGAGGCACGCCACTCCGAGAGAGAACAAGGAACGGAGAGCACACCCTGACCGGTTTGGCGTCAATCGGTGGGCTAGGGAGCGATAAATCAATTGCGCTGTTGTCGCGCCTCTGTCAGAACGCGGGCATTTTTCGGCTTTGTCGCCCTCTCGTGACGTTTGGGAGTCTCCACGTTTGGTGTGATGCGACATGATTTTTTTAACGCTCGTGTCCCGACCGACAACCAACAACCAGCGAGCAGAACAGCAAACCCTTCACCATAGGGTTCGTCGGGGGCCTTGATGGGAGCGATACGTCAAGAACTCAGGTCGCACCCGCTGATTATGTGGACGGTCTGGGACGGTGCGGCGCTATTGCCCCCCCCCGGTGATTGCCATCGGGGTTGGGTTTTCGTCGCTTGGCAACGACGTTGTAAAACAAGCCGCCCCCCCCGGTGTTTGCCATCGGGATTGGGTTTTCGTCGCTTGGCAAAGACGTTGTAAAACAAGCCAATTCACTTCGTGAACTCGGCAACCAGGTTACCGTTTGTTTTTTTTNATGCCGAACACCCTTAGCAGGATGCAGCGCACCCTTCATGCGACTCGCCGAATACCTCACGGCGCTTCGCGCTTGGTGATGTGTGGCGAAATTGGCCCTCCCGGGGAGGGGCGAGGGTGCCGCTGGCACGTCCAGATCTGCTGTTCGGGGCCGTGCCGTCGAAAGCTGCAGCTGCGGTCCGAAAGTCCGCGAAACTGGGTCGATGTTATTCATGATCTACGGTACGCGCCGTCAGACGAGACCAAATCCGCCGAAATGAGGGTGTACCGAAAACAAGCTATATTAGGGAGCACCCGGCAATCACACATGAGACGCTTACATCACACATGAGACGCTTACATGGGACGCGGTTCAAAGAGTTCCTCAACAAGACATGCTTTCGTCGTGGCGCACAGCAGTGGTTGGGGCCTGTCTACAACAGCCTACCGCAAGAGTCTTTTTCCACAAACGTTCGCCTCAACCATGACAAGACGTTTCCACAACTACATTCCACCTGTTCGGCATGTACTAGATGAAACAGGCGACACGGTGAGTGCTCAGATCATGCCATTGCCTTGCGGACCGCCACTTGTACATATCTACCTGTACCGAGGATCATGGGACAGCGACACGCTCTTTGGTACGCCCAGATCTGTTTTTGGGGCCAAGCTGTCAGAGGCTGAAGCTGCGGTTCGTACCGAGCTGTCAAAGGCTAAAGCTGCGGCCCGTAGTGTCCGCTATCCTTGGTCCATATTGTTCACGATCTACTCCTTGTCGCACACCCAATTTCCCTACCTGCTGGTCATCCAAGGCAGTGTGCCTGTTGGCGTGACCACCACTAAACAGACCATACGAAGGGAACATCCCATGGGTCAAGAGCGACTCAGCTGGGTAGATAATGTTAGAGGGCGTGAAATGAACGCTTTTAGCTGAGTAGCCGAGGCGCACTTCCGCGCTGTCAGTTGGATGGTAAGGTTATGAAGTGCTGAGTAAAGTTCGGAACGGCGTTAAAATGCGAAAACAACATGTCCAACAATTCGTTTCCATCTCCCTCGTAGCCACCGCATTCCACCCTGCCGTGTCCTATAACGCCTGGGGTATGCCGTGCCGCGATCGAGCGGCAACCCCCTCCAGGCTGTGTGTAACGGATCATGTCCGAGGTTCACTTCTGATTGCGTAAGAAACGATCTACACAGCCGTTGATTCGAGTGGCTAATTTTCGAATTCCAGAAATTTATGGTAAAGGGCATTTTGAATGAAATTCAATGACTCCAGGATCATTTCGGAGACCCTACGTATGGTAGATTGAGACGCTTTCGATTACCTATCGGAAATCCATTTCGGGTTGTTACAGAATAGAGCCGGTGGACACGCTGAACCCGCGTACAACACTGCGGGCAATCTGCGCCCTCTCACACAACCCGTATCGTACACCGTTCTCGCTTCCTCACGAGGTTGAAATTCGCTGTGCTTGCCACAGCATACATCACACCAAGGGCCTTGAGCCGCAGCGCGAACCCATGACACAACTGTGTCTGCAACATGCAATATATTCTGATCAAGGAGGTGCTCTGCATGGTGAATCGAGTGTTGTTGGTTGGTGCTTGTTGCTGGGTTGTTGTTCTGTGTACCTGGATAGCGCTCACGTGTTGATTTGTTTGCGGTGAACTAGTTTGTGTAACATAACAACAGAAAGAGAATCGCTTTCGGAGTGCTACAAAACCCTGTTCGTATCTGCCCCTTTTATAGCCCACCCCCCGTTGCCTTCTCAGGAGGTCGCAACATGCCTTCATGTACCTCCTCTCCAAGTACGTGCTTTCGTACCCCGTATTGCCACCCTCCCCTGGCCTGATAGGTGTGGCATAAATTGTTTTTGACAAACTCCAATTACCACCCCGCCCCCCTCGTAACCACACGCGGTGAAATAGGTCTAGGTAGCAGTTTCTCGTTTGAGGAATAACACGACAAGTCAGGGAGATATATATATATATATATGAATCGACACGTGCTTGTGGGTAAGCAGCGGGTGTTACACGCCGGAGGCAGGGAAGGGAGGGACAAATATCAAATATCCATGAAGTTAGAAGCACACACGACATGTCAACTGCTGTAAAAGCACGGGATGGCTTCCTGGCTCTCCAAAAGAACGCCAAGTCGACCGTATCGTGGGTTTTCGCGCCTTGAAACACTGGACACAGGCTAAGTGGTCAACAATGATGATGTTATGTTTTTAGCACAAGGTACACTCGCCTTGTAGCAAGGTACTGCTTACCCCGAGTACATCAATTGTCAAGTAGAATTCTCTTTTGAAAAGGAAGAGAAAGAATCATCTTCTCATCGCTCGCGTTTCGTGAAGAATACTGGCAAACTGGGCCGCTACGATGGGTTTTTCGCTGAAAACGATGTTGCTAACATGCGGTTACAGGGTACCCTTGATTGTCAAGATCGGGCACTTTGTCTTCGTTGTACGGAGTCGGGCTGGCGCGAAGTGTTTGCAACGGGAGGCCTTATTTTGTGCGGTTGTCCTCGCGGTTGTATTCGTATTGCACTCACCCGCAAGGCGCCCTATGATTGTGGCGGTTGAAGTTGTCAAAACAAGCGCTCACCCTTTTTGCTCGCTGGTTTGCCCGTCCCGCGTGTTTCCCTCTTTGTAGCACCAGGGCCTGTTAACCTGCACCAAACCCGTCATGGAGGTTGCGGGATGGCGTGACCTCGATTGGGGCCAGCAAGATGTATCGCTATCATCCCTACCGGCCCTGGCCGGAGGATCCAGAACGATCTCGGAATGTGTGAGGATGGTGCCCCGACCAAAGCGGCTGTACGAAGCGGGACCAGGGCTTCTGTTCCTGTACGAGGGGAGGCAACGGTCCTTCAAAGGAGTACTGGTGTGCCTGAACTCCAACACGGACGGGGGCGCATCTCCCCCAGAGCTGAAGGTATTGGAGTTGAGGGCACTCGAGATCGGGGTGGGCGAAGCGACCATGGGCTTTTTCGAGGGTTCGCACGAAGCCTGGGACCAGTTTCTGGTGGAGGGCGGCGGTTCACTTGTCGGCAGACTTCCTGATCTCGGCTGCCGTGGCGTTGCAGGCACGGATCTGATGTTGATATCGAGGCCATGCGCCGGGATTCGGCACTCGGTCCTAGAGGGGCGCGGTGACGTGCAGATGTCGGTATCGTTCTTACCAAGGCTTCAGACTATTGGAACCTTACAAACAGCGCCAGCCTGGGTACTAGGGATATCGCCAGATGCCGGAGCCCCCGACACGGTGGCACCGTGGGGCGGCGACGACAGCGTTCCAATGGATGAACCAGCGGCTAATGCTCGATGGGTCCGACGGAGGAACTCACTAGCCAGTCAGGAAGTTGGGATGACTGACGTGTACAAGGGAGATGTATCGTACGTACCCTTGGCATGGCTCCGTTGCTCGCCTATCGCAAGTGACTGGATTGCAGGATCAATCCTGTGCGGGTTGCAGTCTAAGTTCGGCAAACTGCTTGTGGTTGTCTACACCTCGATGGCCACCGCCTGGGTGTGGTTCGAAGGCGACAGACGTTGGTCATCGGTTTTGATGGCAGCGTCCACGTTCTTGTTGGGTTCACTGTTTCTGTGGAACTACCAGGCGGTTGCCAGAGCCATTTCTCCGTTCGGCAACACCCGCGACCAGCTGATTACTCTCATCTTGGCGTCGCTGTCGTTCTTCTACTCCATCCTCGCCGGACTGTACCATCCTAGGGGAATGCTTGGTGGGGAGGTGTGGTGGCCCGCTGTTGTGGTTGTGCTACTTATTTGTCTCCTGTGCGCTGCAGGCCGAGAATGCCGCAGACGCGATAGGAGGGTCGACGCCAAGTCGTGGGTCTCTCTGTGCCGTCGGGCGGCAGTGGATTTCCAGGAGGTTGGGATGCCTCTTCGCGAGGTGCTGAGGGGCTCAGGTGCTGATTCCAGGGGCTACTACGGTACCATAGGTGGTACGCAGCGTACTGTAAGGCTACAAACAAACACCCCGAGGGGTCAGCCAGTGACCTTGGAGAGCTCGGGCTGGTCGCAAGGGGAGTTGTCCCTGACAGGAGAGGAGGCCTTTGCACGGTGTGGTGGCACCGACCCAACCTTGGACGCGTGGCTCGCTGCTTTTGTGGGGGAGGTTTCAGAAAACGCATTCACTCTCTTCAACCAGGGGCCCGCAGTAGTCGGCAGGATAAACGCATGCTTGGCGGCGTTGGCTGCTACCACATCCAAACCGCCCAGTTGGGCGGAGGGCATTGTGACGTTGTCACAAGTCTACGCCCACGATGACAGGGAGCTCGTTTCTGCAGCGATGGAGAGGGGATGGACAAGTGACGAATTCCTTCTTCGCCGGGTGGTGGTATCGGCTAAACCTGAGCGCACAATCTTGTCGCTTCCGGATGGATTTGCCCTAGAGGAAAACGTCTTCCCGGTGCTGGTCAGACCGAAGGAGTTGATAAAGATCGCTCTCCGGGGATCAGACTACGGTCTGCTCACGGAACAGCCTAACAGGCAGGCGGGGCTAGCGATTGAGTCCCGTAGCACCTTGTACGACAGACTCCGCCTGCGGGGCATGGTTGGGATTCAGGACAGCTACGGATCGAACCATGTCGGGCCACTGGTGGTCGCCGCCCTCCTGGCCTGCTCGGTGGGTCCAGCTTGGCAAGGGTACGCAGTTCAGGTTCTGCCGCTTATCGGGGTGTTTGCCATGTGGCGTGGTTGGCGCTACGAAGTATTCGAAGCCCTGTCTCTCGTGGTCGAGACGGCAAGAGGGCTTCTGTCAGACCAGGCTTGTGTGCTGGCAGGTTTGGTGGCTGGAGTGATTTCTTGGCACGTGATCATCGCCGCGAGCGGTGAAAGCCTCGTTGGTTTCTTGATTGGGGACGTCGTAGCGGTCAAAGTGACTTTTGTGGTCGGGGTGGCAATGCTGAGGATGGTTTACTCCAAGCAGTGGTCGCCCGGAGTGGAGCTAGGGGGAGGGGACGATCAGGTGGAGGGGCTCTGTCACCTCGCTCTGGAAGGACGACCTGTGCCATTTCAGTATAGGATGTTGATTGTTCCATCACCCACATGTGCTGATCTCCCCGCATTGGCCCGCATGCACGTTGGAGCGGGATATACCTTTCGCACAAGTGGCCTGGGAGACGTACTGGCTGTGGGAGGGCAAGCGCATGAAAGTACGTGAGGGCTAGTATTGGGGCTCGTTTTGCAATCCACGGGATGCAGGATCGACAAGTTATTTTTTTCACGTTTATGCATGCGTGTAAATACTGCAAGTGACCCTACGATCATGCTTTTCACCCTAATAGGAGAGGGAAAGACGAGGGTAAGCCAACTGTTTTGTTCCATTCACTGTAATAAAAAAACTCTCGGAGCAGCATGATGGAACCTAGACTGCCGCATCTGCGCAGTCACGACCGTGATCGATGACCTTTTGGCAGCAAAATCGACGATTCGTCCCTCCGGAAGGAGCGGGTTTCCGTTTGCCAGGGTCACTCTGCTGCATCGAGCAGACGCTGGTTGTTGTGAAGAGTGGGCGAACAAAATCGCTCGCAACAACGGCAGTGTGGTACAAAATTCGATGGGTTGACTGGTGGCTGGAATATGTTTTAGAATGCTCCAGGTGTACACCTTGTGTCATTTCGCGCACAATTTGCACTTTCATATATCACCACCGTTCCTACCAATCTGCCTGCTTTGTAGACAATGTACCCCCTCGAGCAATAACTTACGCGCTCGCCCGTCCAACCCTGACGAAATTGTGTTGCACTTGCGCATTTCGAAACAGCCAAGAGTCTCGATCGCCAGCCTCTAGACAACGCGATGGAATGTTCGGGATGACACAGAGTTGTAATCAGTCTGCCCGTTTCGGTGTGTGCGTCATGAAAGATTGGTGGCGGGCAAGCCGTGGCCGTGGGTAGTGGGGCTTTAAGGAGGCAACCCGCCTGCGGTGAGGCGGTGAGGCAGGCCTTCGGCACTTCCGCATTTGATGTGATCAAGATTGGGCGAACTTGACAGAGCACGTGCTTGTGCCGCCATGTCAACACCAACGAAATCGGGCACCCTTGGTGCTGCACATGTGTTCGTGCAAATGGGACGCGGTGGCAGCTGACCCATTTTTATTTCTGCGTGATTCCATCCCTCCATTCGGGCTAGAGGCGCTAGAAACTCTCTCTATAGGTACACGCACCAAACGGCCTACGCCTCAGTCCGGGACTCAACCATAAGAGCCTACCGCCGCCATGTTTGGCGATTGGAAATATATTGCCTACTACCTTGAAAAGCAAACTCCCGGCCGCAAATAGAACGACGCCAACATTTGGTTGCACCGCAGGTCAACGCTAGTCATCGTGTTAGCGTTCGCGGAGAACGTCTTCCCGCGCCATACTTCCGTATGTACCTTTTGTCGAAACAGCCAAGGCTCAGCAGCCCGTGCCAAAATCGGGGATGTTGCCGGTATGCCGCTCTTTTCTTGCTCGTCGCGGTCCGGCCGTTGACCTGTCAGGGACACGGTACGAAAGGTGTCCAAAACAAGACAACGGAGCTTTCTCCAAAACATTCAAATGGGACAGGTTTTGAGAACCGGGTTGCTAATTGATTTGCCCGACTTGATTTCTGTGTAGCCGACGCAAACGCGCTCATCGTTCGCGGTGTTGACGTACGACTTAAAACTGCTTTGAGAACCATCGTGTGGCATAACCAGTGATGTCACTGGTGATACCATGACAATCGATCCTCCAAAGGAACCAAGCAGATAATTCGACGCTTAAACAAAAAGGCGAGAGCTCAAACTTTCACAACTCTTGCCCACAACAAAATTAGCCACAGCACAGAAGTCCAACCGCCAGTTTCGGAACCTCGTTTCTAAACGCACAAACCTCGAAACATGCGGAACTGAAGACTGAAGAAGTTCTCTCCGTCGACATACTCAAGGTTTCGCGTGGCTCCTCTCATCATCCGGCGGAAAGAAGCCAGCTTGAGGTGCTTGCCTTCATAGACCCCATTTTTCCGCCAAAGGGGGTATCGGGAACGGCGGGCGGAGGAAATTTGTTCATCTTTTCGTTTGCCGTACGGGCCCGCAGATAAGATGCGTCAATATCGGGTCCGAGGCTCAGTTTCTCGTGTCATCGCCACTGTCGAGCACAAGTCGTTTGATGGGGTTTAGTGTAGAATCCACCGTTGAGCTATATTTCTCAGGCCTCTGTTTCTTTATGCACTTTTTGTTAACTGCGGGCCCGTATGCTGTAGCAGGATAAGTATGCGTTGTAGGGCTACTTGAGTGTCTCGTCAGTCCCCGGCGAAGGTGGACGGAGGTACGGAATCGCCCCGCCCAGCTTTTCGCCCACCTTAACACGCGGTGGCCAGCACCCGCACCACGCCCGCGGCTGCGGGCGGTCTCAGTCTCACTTTTGTGTTGTCTTCGCGTAGGTAATGATTGGCATCCTTCCGTCCTTCTCGTTGCGGTTCAGAACTCCGCCATGTGCTTGCCTTCCTACCGTTCGTAGCGTCAGTTATGTACGTGGTCACACTTCTCGTTGCGGGCGTCGATAACGCCATACCAAGCGTCCTTGTTTCAGAAACCGCGCAATTCTTGAACGGAGGGGTCACGGCTGCTTTGGTCCTGCCGCTCTGAGCACACCCATCGATTGCTCGACGACATGTCGGCCTGCAAACTGCACAGCCCGCGGATTATCCCTACCATGGTTCAACATCTCGCAATGACCCAGCGCCTTGCCCTCGGCCCGATAGAGCACTCGGCCCGGAGAAGTTGTCAACGAAGATAACAGACGGGCTAGTATCGGCCTGCCGGTGGCTATGCAGTGCTCCAGCAGCCAGACATGGACTGGCGCACATAGCAGTGCAGTGCGGTGGCAGTACACGGGACTGTTAGGGGGGCTCCGTGAATGTGGATGGGGTGTTGGGAACGAATTTGGGGTTCCGACACAAGCAATCAGACACATACAGAGACCGGTGCTTGTGTGCTTAAGCAATGAGAGCTAGGTGACGTGAGTCATAGCACATTCAGTGAGAAAGTCCGGCCGGGCGATGATGAAAAGCTCTCGGTGTTGCCGACGCTGCTCTGTGACTTCCGTTGCGAGCATCTTTCTATGCTGCTACGCGCTCCTCAGCGAACATGTGTCCGCATTCAACGTCAACGCGGGCTCCCCGACGACCCCAGGGCGAGTGCGCGGGCTACGTCCATCGCTAGACCGAGGACTGGTCGACAGGATCAACGGCATCTCTTCACCATCGCGAGTGCGGGATCGAGTGGCGGTCGTGATGAGCGCGGAAAGGCGGTCTTCATGGTCGTGGAGCCAAGCCACGGCAACCGCAATAGCGACGATGCAGGTGTGTGTGCCGTGTGACCGTACATGGCAGGAACACGCTTGTTGGTTTGACCGCCGCTGCCACTGCTGCTGTTACGACGTGTGCTTGTACCGCAACTGAACGATGTCTAGGATAAGCGTGGCTGGTAGGCTCAATGTCATCTCTTCAATTCTACCAAAAACGCCAAGTTTGAAGCTGCCATTGAGCTTCGGGTCTGTCGCCAACATGTTGGGCAAGATGGATCAAGATTTCTCCTCTGGGCCCCTAGACTACGGCAGTAGTCCAGTCATCTCCTAGAGACCCGCGGGGTGTCCCTGTTCTTTGCAACGTCTGGTATGGCCGCGATGCATAGGCCTCCTCCCTTGTCGAGAATCGGGCTTGGAACGTTAACCGAAGGGGCGCGCTTTTTATAGGTACGGCAGTACTCTGCCACAGCGATACATCATTGATGATTCCAGGGTACGACTTGCGGCTGTCCGTTGCCAACCCCATGGAGGCTAAACCCCAAAAGATTCAAGGTACCGCAGGAAAAAAGTGGGGGAGATCGCGGAGATTTTAAGCGACCCCGGCTCGACCAGGGTGGCTGAAGTAGAGAGGCTAGACTGGTGCAATGAACCGTTGGGGATGGGAGGTGGAGAAGAGGAGGCAGGCAGAGCGGAGAGATTCATGTTGAGAGTCTACTTCCGGTCGCCGGGAACCGCTCTGTGTGCGTGTGTACTAAAACTGATGTTGTCCATGTTTGGAGACCGGTGGGGTGGGGCGGCATTCGATGGTAAGGAGGGGTCTGGTTGAACAGTGAAGCCCGTCATCGAACAACCAGGCGTAAAGTTATAGCCCTCGTTTTAGCAGGAGCCAAATAGCACGGTACGAGTCAGTCCGGCTACAGGACGGGAGCCCCCCAATCCCATTGGTCGGGTGGACGCACCCGACCGAACTGTGCCATCCTCCTTGCAATGTTTGCGCGGCTGGCCAATCAGATCGTCGCCACCGGAGCGCCTGCGATGGCATCCGTGGTTGAACCACGCTCTGCTAGACCCGGCCTGGTTACCATTGTCGACGCGGATTTGGATTCCGCCGAGGGTGCGGGAGAGACTTCAGCGAGCGCGGCGAGCGAAGTACCGGCGGCGCCGGAACCAAGCGGGACTTTCGAAGAATCGTGGAGCTTGAGTAACCAGTGAGTTGGTTTTACCTGGCTCTAAGTGGTGTGGGTTCCTTACATTACAGTAGTATACGCCTTTCACAGGCATTCTCCTTCACAGGCATCCACCGAGATTGCTTCTCCTTGTGTGAGTCCTGCGGATGAACCGGCAGTAAATATTATTCTCAGAACGCCCCGACCGCCGGGGAGGAGCGTTGGCCCGGCGCAGTTGTGATTTTCCCGTGTCTCCTTGTATTAGTCACACGGCAATGCTTAATGCACCAGCAGTGTTTGTCACCACTCGTCCCCACCTCAGGCTAATTGTGTACAAGTCTTCTCACACCGTAGGTTGCAGTGGTCCCAGAACGCATAATACAGTCAAGTCGTATGCAACACTACTCCACACCCCCTTTCCACGTGCGCTGCTGATGTCGCCAAGGTTTTATTTTGACCGCACCCACAAGGGTAACGACTGGGACGCGGTGAAATCGCGGCTGACGGCGGATATATCGGCGGGTAGAAAGAGCGAGAAGGCGGCCACAAAGGAGATGCTGGCGCTCCTCAAAGACAAGTACAGCAGGTGTGTGGGGGGAGGGGGGGCGGGATCGCACGAACTGCTCTAGCTGGCGCGGCGTCTGTGAACCCTCGTGACAAATTTTGCTGCGGGGCGAGACAGGTCCGTCGGCTTTCTCGCGAGCCAAGGATGGAGAGGGCGGACAGCTTGGGTACGTCTGTTGACCCATCGATGGTTGAGGTCGTGGTATCGCTGCTGAAACTTCAGCGCTGGCGCGCGGGTGCAGCTTGCAACAACAAATGCACCACAAAGCTTAGGATCTTTTTCGAAGCTGAAACGCTGTCGTGAAGCGACAGTAGGTCACGAACAGCCTTGTCTCCGATAGATCCCCTACTTTATCGATGAATTGCGATCTGATGCGTCGCCGGTTTTCTTGAAAGCGTACCTGCCCCTGGCGACAAACACAGCAAGGTGTTGACTTTCTGCTTGGAACAGGTTGATCGGACCCGAGGTCTACGATATGCTGTCCAAGTATGATCTCATCGGGGTCGGGGTGATGCTCTCGCCGAACCCGGCAGGACAGGTGCGTTTTTTTTTTACATTTAGTGTAGCTGTTTTCGGTTTTCTTTTGCTTTCGAGGAGCGGTAGCAGCTCGCGTTTTTTCCGTCGTTCCTTGTACAAAAGCCGTTGCTGAAGTACCGCAGATACGCTCCGTTGGTCTCAAACACTGCTCGACGCTCGATATATTGCAGGCCATTGTCGAACTGATTGGTAGAATCTGGTAGATACCTCTCCCCCGCCCTTGACCTGCGGGCAGACTCGCCTTCGGCCGATTTTTTAAAGGAACGCACCTCCTTTTCATGCGCAGATCCCGCACGGCAAGAGCACGACAAAGGGGTATATGTCAATTATGTAAACACAACGAGTACCTTGCACTACCCTCCGCACTCTCTATCTTCCCCCGTGCCCCGCCGCCCACCCGTGTGCGCCCCGAACGATGCGAAAATGTGGTCCCTGACCTCCACACCCTGCACCCGCAGCTTGTGGTCGCCTCCCCGCCCAAGGCAAACAGCCAGGCGGAGAAGCTGGGCGTGAAGAAGGGAGACCTGGTCTCCACCATCAATGGCTTGAACGTGGTGAACATGGACTCCTTCGAGGTTACCGATTACCTGGCCAAGTATCAGGTTAGTCAGCAGGGGAGGGGCGGGCCTGGGCCTGGGCCGAGCCCAGTAGTCTACGGAGGCTTTCTAAGCAAGCAAAGCATGTTGGATAAAGGATAGAATCGGCCTAGTTCGGATTTAGTTCCGGTCTGCGTGCCCCCCTACGTGGTCTTTTTTTCGTATTTAGCTTTCTTTCTTTGCGTAGGCAGTCCACGGAGCCTAGCCGGGACCACCCGCCTCGTGTCTTGTCACGGCAAGTTATCGGAGGGAGGAGCGGCTCTCGTTTTTTTTTTTTCGTTCGGGATGTCAGGCTAAAGGTAGGGAGGGCTCCCGCCCCGAGAGAACCCTTTCATCGAGGACGTGATTTTTTTTCCGCAAACAACGTAGTTTGCCTCAATCGCGCAAGCGTATCGCCACCACCTCGAATCAAACCATCTCCCCCGACTGTTGACCCTACTGTATTAAAGAAGAGAGAACCAAAGCCGCGACATCGCTTAATCCGTTGGCGCGCAGCAGTATCACGCTGCGCTCGCCAGGAGAAAGACGATCGCATACGGGAGACCGTTTGTGCCGCAGCAGCAGTCGTGCGACACTCTTGAGTTTTCTCTCCCAGTAATCCTTGCGAGCCGAGTCAAGCCCGTGGCCGCTCTAGTTTAGTCTCCGAACGATCTGTGCCAAGTGGAGAACGGAAGCGGCTGAATGTGTTTTTTAGTGCTGAGACTACGGCAAAACAGGCGAGCGAGACCGGCTCGCAGGGAGAGGAAGTTGCGGTTCGTTGGCGGCGTCGCTGGGTGTGCGCATTGTCCACCCCCCAAGGCAGCGATCGGTCCGTTCCAGTGTTGCTGCTGTCGTTCCCGCGCTGCTCTTCGATGCCGTTCCTTTTTTTATCGTTGCGTGCTCGCCACACAGGGCAAGACTGTCACGTTTGAGCTTCGGAGCCCGGAGGCGGGGTCGAAGACGAGGTCGGTGGAGCTGGACAGGACGTTCCCGTCGACGGAGAACCCGGTGGCCTACCGAGTCAAGGTGGCAGCATGTTTTGTCGTTGTCGTCGTCGTTGTTGCTGACGTTGCTGTTGTCGTCGTCATTGATGCCGTTCTCGTGGGTGTAAAACTATGGTGGCGGCGGTGTCATTGATGCAGTCGTTGTATCGTTGTATCGTTGTATCGTTGTGCGTGCCTGTTGTCGTTGTTGTTGGTGTCAGTGGCGGTGGTTTTGTTGTCGTTGTTGCTGCCGTTCTTTTTGTGCGTGCCTGGGTTGATGCAACCGTGGGAAAAGTGGAGTGATTTTCGTCACTTTTTGTGCCGCAGAAGATAACCAACCCATCATGTACCGCTTGGTCGGTGCGTCCGCTACTGCCAAAGCCCCTTGGCCTCCTTGGGCGCCCACAGCTGTCGTTGAAACGCAACTTTTTCACACGTACTTTCGTCGCAAAACATTCATTTTAGTAGCCCCGCCCCCGCTTGGTTTTCTGCAAAGCTTAGAGCCAAGGAGAGCACAAGGTCGGCTACGCCCGCCTTCGCGACTTCAACTCTATCGTGGCCAACTCCCTCAGGGACGCCCTAGTGGAGATGAAGGCCGAGGGGGCGGACGAGTTCGTGCTAGACCTCAGGGGTAACGGCGGCGGGGCGTTCCAGAGCGCGCTCGGCGTGGCCGGTCTGTTCATGGACGCTGAGCCAATCACCTACGTGGTGCGTGCAGTGTGGAAAGGGGTTGTGTGTGGGACATGGGCGAGAAGAGCAACGGGCAGGGTTCCGTGTGCTCACCTTGTCTGGAATGCCTTCTGCGTGCGGAAAAATGGTGTTGGGTTTTGGTAGCTGCTGCGGACTGATTGCTTTGACGGCGGATCGCGGAACTCAACGGTAGTAGGAGGCACCGGTGAGCTTCTTCTCGCGCTCCTTGTGTCTCGTCCTGGTGCGTTGTCTCTTTGATCTCGAGTAGTCCACCCAGGCAAGACAAGTGTTCCCCGAAGACTCTTCGCTGAGCGCGGGTGGGGAACTATGGTGGATGCGTACCGCGCCTGCATTGCCTCCGCTTGCCCACATGTCTGGTCTTGATTCTCTCCGATTCAAGCATCAACCCTAGTATATCACCAATGATGGCCACGTTGCGAGTGGAATCGACAATGTTGCCTGCAGGCTACCTCCATCCCCTGTTCATGCCGTTCCTCTCTGTTGTTTTTCGCCGTCGGTCCGGCCGGTTATTCTCGCAGGTGGACGGTTCGGGCCAGCGAGCAGAATTCATGACGAAGAAGGACGGGGTGGTTACGGAAGAGCCCCTCGTGGTTTGGGTGGACGGCGGGTCGGCTAGCTCCAGCGAGGTGCGTCGAACGGGGCAGCCGTAGGAGAACACGCAGCAGTAGCCAGGCGCGGAAGAACGTAGCTGGGTGCTTTCAGACTAACAACACGTGCATACCTCTGAAAACGATCGATCCGCGAAGGCTTTGCTAGACCCGCCCCAAACCGAAACCATTCCAGTCCGTGAACCCACCCCTGCCCTGTCACCGGCGACGTGGACTGAGAAATGCTCTTGATAGATAGGATTGACAAGATACATATGGACAAAACAATTAAGCCACCTGTGGCACATAAGGAAGGGAGCGAATCGCCATCGGTGAGGGGTCCTGTGGGAGCAATGCTCCCTCCTCCCTAGGACGTGTAGGCAATGGTAAAGAGCTAAAGGCATGCAAAACGTGAGTATGCCCCCCCCCCGTCCCCCCCGGTGTTTGCCATCGGGGTTGGGTTTTCGTCGCTTGGCAACGACGTTGTAAAACAAGCCATTTGACCTACGTGAACTCGGCAACCAGGTTACCGTTTTCTTTTCTACCTCTGTTCTTTTATTGCGGTAACCATCATGGGGGTCGAGTAGATCATGTTGTGCGGGGTGGACAATCCTCACTCCGCGCAAGGGGGATGATCGCACCACGTTGTGT